TTTGAATAAATATGCATAATTTATCATTCTGACACATTTGATTTTTATCATTTTTAAACTACCTTATGTTAGTTGTTTGATAATGAATTTTTGGAAAAATCAAATATTCAAAGAATAAAAGACTGTTAGAGAATCCTGACTTCCCTAAACCTGTTACCAGTGTGCAATGCATATAAGATATATACAACGGGTGACAAATGTTTTCGAACTATCTCACAGTTCTCCTTAGGTCAACTAGCTTAGGAATGCTTCCAAATGGAGCATGTGGAATTCGACGGGATCGAATGTCATTTCAACAAAGTCAGTCTTGCTTGACATGTGCAGTCGTGAGTTGGTGGAGGTAGCCATGGGTTGGCATCTAATAGGGACTGCAGGCCAGCAACAGATTTAGCTCCTTCTTCCGGTTGACACATGCAGCTACTTGGCTGCATGCCATCAAAATGACATTCAATCCTGTTGAAATCCACACACTCTGTTCAGAAGCATTCCTAAGCTAGTTGACCTGAGGAAGAACTGTGAGATAGTTTGAAAATGTTTGTCACCTGCTATATATATCTTATATGCATTGTGTGCCGGTAACAAGTTTAGGGAAGTCAGGATTTTACTCTGGTGCTGAAATTAGAGTGAACTGTTAGATAAAATAGTTTTTTATATATTGTGCTTCCTCAGTTCTAAGACACTTTTCTTACCTGTTTTGACTTTAGCTATTCAAACTAAAGTATATTTGCTTTCAAAAACAATAATCATTGCAAGCAGACCATGTGATGTGTTATACATCAACAATATTGTGTTTTTGGTAATGTAAAACCTCACTAAGTCAACTTGAAGCCGTCTACAGGCACAGTATATACAATTTTTCATAAAATGCTCATTAAGTCAAAATTGTTGGTAATATAGTCAAACCTATTTTCCTATGTACTCTCTACCCTTTGATTTTCAATTTCTCTTATATTCCATGTGAAATTTAAGATAAACAAACACTAGGATTCCATTATAAACACTTCACACTATTACATCCTTGTGTTTACATTTTTTTTACTGTTACTGTATGTTACCAGCATTCTGATAGGAACAAAAGGGGGTATCTTGACAATGCATGCAAAAGTGCTATAAACTGCATACAATTTTGTAATCATTCTGTGAAAATATTTCTGAGAAAAACAGCTTGATAATGGAAAATTTATGGCCATAGAAATATTTGAGAAAATTGGGTATTAAATTCATTAACTGGAAACTCAAAATTGGAACTTTTACCCAAAAAATTCAAAAATGATCACACACAAATAAAATTAAATAAAATAAAGGAACATATAAAAATTAAATTGATAAATACAAAACAAAACGTTTTTATTTTGTATTTATCGGTTTTTTTTCACATATTTTTTAATGTATTCTTTTATTTTATTTTATTTATGTGTGATCATTTTTGAATTTTTTGAATATTTTCAAACTTATATGTTTGTTTTATGATATGGAACTTTTACCCCTTGAGCTTTGACTTAACATGGTTTTACCATGCTATTTAATATTCAAAATGTCTTCAATCCAACATTATGATGAGTATTAAAACTAATAGTTATTATATAAATAAATGGTAATGGCTTGTAAAGAAAAGTAAAATCACAAGATAATGTCTCTGTTTTTATTACAAGGTAATTATAAAAATTAAAATATTACCACTCAAAACTGTGTATACTTGAAAGAAAGCCACTAAAAAATCTAATATTTTGCAGAGAAGTTTGAAGGTGCTAACATTTTTGCCTGTGTTGAACAGCCATTATCAGGCAAACTAATCCTCCAGCTGCTGAAACAACAGAGAATTGCCATACACGTGAGATGAGAGAAAATAGGGGTACGATTTATAGTTTAAAGAAGGACTTTCACACTGTGGAGAAAGAGGCAACATTGCAAAAACGTTAACACCTCCAAACTTCTCTGCTGGATATTAGGTTGTTTAGTGACTTATACATGATTAAAATTAATTTTTTTTTTAAATCAAAACCAGTGTTGATCAAAACAGTATACAAAATGCAATGTTAAACATTGTAGTGCTATTCCCCATCAGAGACCAGTCCTGCTTTGATTGCAGCATCTCGTGATATGATGAATTGTTTGTGACATTATTGCACTGTTTAGCAGTGCCTTCATAAACAGTGTGACTTCAGGGCAGAAATTAGATATTGGGTCAGAACAGAGATACAGAGTATTTCATGACTTGTAAATATTAATAAAAATAAAGATAAAAATTTCAAATCAAATTAATTTATTTTAATTAAATTTTTAAAAAATATTTCATAAATGATATATCTTAAATAATAGTTGTTACTCACTACTACTAGATTGGATAGCCACAAGCCACCACTGTAAATGAAACTGCTTTTTTTTAGGAGGTCAAATTTACTTTTTACAAAAGAAACATTTTCAACCTATTTTAGGTCATCTTCATAAGTGAAATGTCATCTTAAAATCATAAGTGTTTAAAAATAGAATTAACACATAAAAATAAGCTGAAAATGACTTAAAATAATAAAAATGTTTTTTTTTATAATAAATAAATTTTTAGTTTTCTGAAGAAAGTAATTTTATTTATGTAATTTAAAAAATGATGCTGGTCTTCATAAATAGTTATTCATATGCAGAGAAGCATGGAATTAGAGTTGCTATCTGTATTATGGCATTTGTACTAAAAAGTATTAGACAGCAAAAAGTCCAAATCCAGAAAAAATAATGATAAGATTTATTATAGAGGAGCCCCACAAACTTGACATAACATGGACTGAGCAGGTGACAAGTTATTGAAAATGATGAGTTTTAGACAAGCAATGATGCTTGTCTAAATAGCAGAATTTTTGTAAAGGTATTATATGTGCATATTTTTATATGTATTAATTACATACCAATTGTGATTGTTTCTATTTGTAGTTAAACTTTAACTAAAAAAGAAAATATATTGGCTATTCAGTTGCTACTTTCAAGTTAGTAACATTGCATTGTGGCATTTTGCAGTGGCACCTTGGAAAAAGAGTTATATTCTTTGTTAACATGGAATTGATGATGTTATCAAGTGTTGTCAGTGGAAAATGATAACTTATTTGATCCTAGTATTAAGTTATAGAATGAAAATTAGATTCACGTTTGTGTGTTTTTTTTTTTTTTGAATGACATGATGAGTTTTACAGAATGTCAAGTTATTGAGAGTCGAGTTTCCAGGACTCTACTGTATTGATTTGTTAAATAATCAAATTGATATGTGAAAGTTAATCACAATTATTTCATTTCTATAGGTTTTATGATGGTTTTTCTGTAAGAAGCACATTCATTTTTGAATGCCTTTTTTAGCACTTTAATACTTTGTAGTGATATATTATAAAATACAGATTTAATAAAAATGTAAATAAAAATATATTCATATCTTAAATTTTTTTAACCTTTTTTGAAAAATATATTTATTTAACTTTAAACTTAAATCAAAATTAAGATAGAACACCATATTATTCAGGTAAATATGAAAATGAAAAATTACTTGTGCTGTTAAGGGTATATCAGTGATGTCATATAAAATATTGCATATCATATATCAAGTGTGCAATCAATAACATGCAAAACAAATTTAATTAATTCATACAATTTGTCAAATTAATGTGTAATTCAATGATGAACAATGTTTTTGGGATGTGAGTCACAAGTGAACTTTAAAGGCTTCCAGAGTCTGCATGCATTTTTTTCTTATGGAGTTGTACACTTTAAACCTCAGCAGGTTTAAACCAATATACTCCATGATTGCCAGTATGTTAAGTACTAAAATAATATACAGTATGCTAATGATATGCAAACTAGTAATATACAGTCAACCCCCCTATAAGATGGTAGATACGTTCCGTTTTTTATGAAATTGATGTTTTAGGAGATCTTGCCAATCACAGCCCGACACGTGTGAAGTTTATGGACTACGGCTGTTTGAAAGGTTTTCTTCCATAAAATTAATCGATTCCTAGACTAACTCGATTCAACATTTCCAAAATACATATAATTTTTGGGAATAATCCGTATAAACTATGCTATAAATAAAAATAGGATTACTTACTGAGTGTGCACCGTTTGACGTCGCCATTGCTTAAGCTTGTTTTCATCGCAGAGCAGCGCACCAAATGGCGGCCACAATTTCTGATAAGTTATTTTTCTGCGAAAACTTCATTGAACTTTGGAGACATCATTAATATAAATCATTTTTATGGCCGTTGAATAAGAAAATGTTTCTTTCACAAGAAATGTATAAAATTAGTGCTGTATTAGACTTATGGTATCTAATTTACATACTGTACAGACGATAGTAAACTCAACTTACTAGCCTAAACTCTCCGTAGTGTGGCGCTGGACGGTGGAAAGTATATGTATAATTATAATAAAGTTAGAATAAATTAAGTTAATATATAATTATATGTACAGTACCTAATTTATATATAATTTATATATAATACTGTACAGACGATAGTAAACTCAATTTACCCACCTAAACTCTCCGTAGCGTGGCACTGGATGGCGGAAAGTAGTTCGGCTGCCCGATGACGTTTTACCGAATTATAGGAGTTTTTTTACCTTGTTTGTACAGATACCGTCGCAATTTTTTTGCCGTCGTATAGGAATCCGAACTATAGGAACCCGTGTTATAGGGGGGTTGACTGTATAGCTTATTCTCATTTTTTACTGGTCAAGATTAGTTCGAATGTTTTTCATCATGAATATCATGTTACTTAGAGTTGTATAATGACATGAAGCAGAAAACAGGAAAACAAAATTACATTACCAAAACCCTAGGGCCACATATTGATATCTCTCATGCCACAGATTGCTCATGACTAATGTAATTTTCATAATTTAATAAATTTGCTTTATAATTATTATATTAAAAAAATTAGCATTTAAATTATGGTAATTCATACATTTGTATTTTGACTGCTTGTTTTTATATTTTTAAAAAGTACAAAAACAATTAATTTGTACATTTTCAATTTTTTTGTATTGTAGCTTATTTTTATAATGAAGTGAAATATGTATGTAAATGGGATAATGTTTCTTCACGATGCTTACATCTTTTATTATATCATCTAAATGCAGCCGAGCAATTTAATGAGTTATCATCTCTTTTATGTACCATTGAATTTCTAAAAACTGCTATTAAAGCTGGCATTAGTTTAGAAATTCTTGATTATTATGAAATGCTAAAAAGCAACAAGTTAACAAAAAACGTTTATTTGGAAAAACTTGAAGATTTTCATTCTTTTTATTCACAAAATTTACATATTTTACAAAGGTATGTAAAGTTTATTACTTTAAATTTAAATAATAATATATGAATCAAGATTATTTCATTAGAATTCAAAATTAATGATAGAAAATTAATTGAGTATTTAATGAACTACTATCTGTTATTTCGTATTAAACTTAATAAATATTAATTTTATTGAATGTAATGCTAAATTTAGATTTTGAATTAATTTAGTAAAAAATTCTTTCAGAATAATCATAATATTTCAATATTATTATGCAATGAGTTACACAAGTTTTGATATCTTGAGTTGATTTTTTAAAAGTATTTAAAACAAATATTTTTGAATTAGTAATAATAATAAATTACATATTTTTATTTTAAAATAGTTATTATTTCTTTTTGAGTATGATATTTTGAAAATTGTTTTATAATAATATCATCTGTTTCAGGTATCCTGGTTTAATATATCAGCAAGCACTGAATGAACAAATAACTTCATCAGTATTTAAAGAAGCTGCTGGATACACTCATTCTAATGTGATAAGATGGCTAACAAAACCTAAAATACCAACAGCATGTTATTTAACATTATCAAACTTAAAACAGGTATGCTTTAGTTTTTATTGTTTTTTATTTTATTTTATTAAGTTTTTATTGAATCTCAATTTAATTAAATTTCAGCATGATTTCAAATAAAACAATACCAATAACACTACACCTTACACTTTTCCAGCAGTAGTTTAATTAAACAAACTTTTTGACCCCTTTCAGAGGTCTGCCTCAGGTTAAAAAAACTTACAAATTAATTGGATAAATAAATCTAATGTTATGGACACGATGAAAAAGATAGGTCAGATTAAAAAATTAGTGGAAGCTCATGGCTACAGCAAAAATCTGATTGCAAGGTTAGCTAAAAACATGAAGGACAACATTAATGTATCATGGCTTAATAAGGATACACAGTGTTCTGAGGTTTTACCTCTGAAATTTATAGTAGTGGTCTGTGACCCAAGGCTGACTTCTACATATATAAAACATTAACAAAACATATGATTGCTAGAATAGCTTATAAATGTAATCCAACTATATTTACGCTATTAGCTAATGGTAAAGATTCTATAGATAGAAAGTTATCTCCCAGAGTATACACTATCCCAGTGTTTCTCAACCTCTAACGAATCGTCACCTCCTTCAAAAGACTGTTACGTAGTATCGCCCCCTTCACTACAAAATTCCGATGCCGAGGGACAAGACTAATACCAAATTCGTACTGCATTGAATAGACTAGTGACTAGTATAATGTTATTTGTTTAATTATTGTACGATATAACGAATAAAATATCTAATTATTCTTAATATAATGTTTTACTATATCGCCCAGAAAATTGTTTTTTGCCCCCCAAAATATAAATTGTTA